GGGTGGCCGACCCCCCAGCCTCCAAGCTCCCCTTCGAGCACGTCGGCTCCTTGGGTGCCGGCCCCGCCGAGGTGAGCACCCTGGGCAAGGAAGAGCCGGCGGGGACCGTCGCCTTCCTACCCCCGGGTCCGTTCCAGCCCTGTGCCCAGGGCCCCTTCCCCAGCTGCTGCTTCGCACCCGGGGTCCCCTCGGGGCCACCTAACCCATCCTATACGTCTTCGTTTGTGTTCACCCACCCAGAGGGAGCCACCTGCGGAGCCTCGCATCAGCGGAGCAGCAGCAGCGACCAGTCCTCGGACTCCTTGAATTCTCCCTCGCTCCTCGCGTTGTGAACGGGGTCCCCCCCCAAAAATGGGCACCTCCTTCCTCCCTGGGTGGTGGTTTTTTGTGGTTTTGGGCTTTTTTTTTTTCCCTCCTCCCCCTTTTTTTTTTTTTTTTGGATCACTTGTCCCAGAGGTTGGGGTGTTGGTGAGGTTGAAGGGCAGCTTTGGTGCCTGGATGTGGGGCGTCAGCGAGGAGGCTGGCGCCTTGGAGGTGTCCATGATGTGTGTCCGTTGTTTGTGCGGTCTCCTGGCCGCTTTAGAGGTGTCTGCCCCCAGTCCCCATCATCTCATGGGGGTTCATGCAGCGTCTCCATCCCCTTGGAGATGTTTCTGCCCAATTCCACCACCCTGGGAATGTCCCTGTGGTGCCTCCATCACCTCAGAGGTGTCTGTCCCCAGGCCGCATCCTCTCATGGGGGTTCATGCAGCATCTCCATCCCCTTGGAGATGTTTCTGCCCAATTTCCACCACCCGGGGAAGGTTCCTGTGGTGCCTCCATCACCTTCGAGGTGTCTGTCCCCAATCCCTGTCATCCCATGGGGCTTTACAGAGTATCTCCTTTGCATTGGAGATGCTCCTACTCAGCTTCCATCCACCTGGGAAGATCCCTTTGTCGTCTCCGTTGCCTTAGAGGTGTTGTGCCCAGTCCACACCATCCCATGGGGCTTTATGCAACATCTCCATCCCTTTGGAGATGTCCATGCCTGACTTCCACCATCCTGGGAATGTCCCTGTGGTGTCTCCATCACCGTAGAGGTGTCCATCCCTGATCCCCATTGTTCCATGGGGATTCATACAGCGTCTCCATACCTTTGGAGATGTCCATGCCTGATTTCCACCATCCTGGCAATGTTGCTGAGGTGTTTTCATCACCTTAGAGGTGTCTGGCTCTGATCTCCATCATCCCATGCGGAGTCGTGCAGCATCTCCTTCACTCTGGAGATGTCCATGCCTGATTTCAGTCACCCTGGGAAGGTCCCCGTGGCATCTATGATACCTCAGAGGTGTCTGTGCCTGATATCTGTTGTCATGGAGGGGGTCCCTGTGCCATCTCCATCACTTTGGAAATGCCCATGCTGTATCTCCCTCATCCAAGGAAAGGTCCCTGTGTCATTTCTGTTACACTGGAGATGTCTGTGTCATCTCCGTCGTCCCAGGGGGTCCATGTGGCAGCTCCTTCACCCTAGAGGTGTCTGCTGCATCTCCATCTCCCTTGGAGAGTCCCTGTGGCACCTCCGTCACCTTAGAGGTGTTTGTGCCACAGCTGCACCATCCCGTGGGCTCCTTGCAGCATCTCCATCACCCTGGAGGTGCCCCTGCCAAATTTCCGTCACCGGAGCGGGTTTCCATGCGCTGTCTCCACCCCTCCATGGTGTCCACACTCCGTGTCCCCATCCCCCTTGGGGGTCCCAGCCCCACTGCTGATGCTGGGCCTCCAGGTGACCTCTCTAGCACCCGCAACATTGGGTGGGCTCCTATCCTGCTTGTCCCCCACCCAACTGTGAACGACTCTGCCCCATCCACCCTCCCTGCACGGGTCCCACCGGTGGCTCTGGCATCCCCAACTGCGCGCCATCCCTCTCTTGTGACCAAGCTTTGCCAGCATTGACTCTGTCCTCTCTCAATATATTATATATATATATTTGTTGCGTGGGGCTACCAGCTCCCGGGAGATGTTTAATTTTTTATTATTATTGTTATTATTATTATTATTGCCTGTGCTGTATTTGTGACTGTTCTGGGGCCAGCTTGGCCCCTGTGTCCGTGCTTGACCCATCCCAACGTGGCCAATAAAGCAGCTTCGGATCAGCCCTCTATCTCTTCTTTCCAGCCAGAAGGGTGGCACCAGGTGGACACCCATCTTCTTGGGGAAGAAGTGGGTTGGGGACCTTCTGGGGACACGGAAGCTGCAGGTTGAGGAGCTTCCCTGGGGTCCTTGGAGATGTGGGCTGAGGGGTCATAGGGCCTTGGGGACAAAGAGGAGCACCAAGGTGATGAAGCCATGGAGATGCTGGAGCCTGTGCCCCAGGGAGCTTCTGGGGCCACAGAGCCCTTGGGTGAGGGGTCCCGGAGGAGCGGGAGCTGCAGGGACCGGGGTTCCTGGGGACCAGGAGCCCTGGGTAAGAGCCCCTTGGGGAGGTGCAGCCTGGGGGGCTGTCTCCCCGTTCTGCTGCCAATCAGCTGTGAAGATCATAGCATAGAATTATGAGAAGTTATAAGCCTCGCCCACATGCATCAAGCCACGCCCCCGGCGCCTGCAGCCCCGCGGGGGGCCGCCAGGGGGCACCAGCACCC